CTTCCATCCTTCTGAGGAGGGGAAAATTAGGACCCAGATTGTTGGGGGCAATATGCTGACTCTCTGTAAACTGCTTAGAGAGGCCTGAAAGGCCTATGAAGCGGTATATAAGTCTACTGCTATTGCTATTGCTATAAAATTAAGGTAATTAAATGAGGCATACCTATATTTCATATTGGGACTATAAACTGGATGATTTGTAGTGACAGACCAGATCCAGAATATAGGCCATAGGTAAGCAACCCCTAGTTTGAACCATCATTATATCAAAATACTGTCATATTGCATATAATCTTGCCTTTCTAAAGTCACCAATGTGGATTTCAATACAAATAGTCTTCACTTAACAATTATAGTTGGGCTCCACATTTTAATTATAATTAATTGTAGTTGTTAATCAGGTCACATGATATCACTTGATTTTACTACTATTACTGTTGTCATAAAGTGAGTCACAATACAGATATAGAGTAAGAAAAGTAGTCATTAAGCTGATCCATTCCACTGAATGGGCATTTTTGCTGGAAAACAGCAAAATAGCCCACTGCATATTGCAGTCATATGACTGTTAGTCTTTTCAACCAGTCTTGAATGCAAGCCAATTGCCAAGCACTATAAGTACGATATTGTGGCTGCAGGGGGATGGCTGCAACGATTGTAACTTTGAGGATGGATTGTAAGTAAATTTTTGTTGAGTCCATTATAATTTTGGTCAATAAGTGATTCATCATTAAGTGAGGATTACCTGTACTCCTAGCCTTACTTTAAATAATAATTTCTAATGCAGTGGTACTTCAGTACTCAACTGCTTCAAAACTCTTTGAGTTTGGCACGGAACACATTTTCATGTGAAAATGTCCTAGTATTCAGAGTATTTTGGTTCTTAACACACTGTAAAAGGAAGTAGGGGACAGTTTCAAAGGTTGGACAAGAAATTAATCATACTGCAAAAGTCACTAATATAAGAAAAGGGACAGATAGATCTTTCCCAGCTAAAACAAAGGACCACATAAGTTGGTTTGTTTAGTACTTGTTGTGCCTCCCTGAACCAATTAAGGACAAGTACTGAGCACTGTACGTGATTCTTGGGTATTTGCTAGATGAGAAAATTAAAATCTAATCTAGTAGGACTGGAGATTGGGATAAAAGCCTCTTTATTCATGCTGCAGGAGGTTAAATAAAATGGTTCTGCTTAGATGGTATTTATTAAAGGGACTGATGCTAAGTGAACAGCATCTTATGTATTTCTGACTCCACACAACTAGAGATATATGTAGAAGTATCTTGGTTTGGCTTCAATAGTGTATATGCTTACTAAGCCACTTTATAGCATAGGTAAAACTTACATTGGTGTATGATCTGGAAACTGAAGGTTCACAAAAGGTTAAATATGACCTGTTTGAATTAAAATTTTGCTATGTAAGAATTTGTGCTACTTAATTACAGAAGTAAAAAATACAATTTCAGCATGAATGTGGCAATATTTGATTATAGACATGATTTCTTTTGTAGAATGTTTTCATATAAATAAATTTAAATATTTATAGTTATATATCATAATAAATTGTAAATTTATTAATATCAATGTAAATCATAAAATTTGAATTTTGACAAAGTAAATGGAAGATAAAGTATTAATAGTACTTTATTCATAAGATGAACCTTTTTTTTTTTTTAAGGTTTCATTGGATTATAGACCTGTAATAGATCACACCCTGAATGAAGAAGATTGTGCTACAGTTCCACCAGCCATTCGGTCCTATTAGTTATTTTGATTTGAATTTTTGCTTTTAATGCATATGCAAACATACCAGGCAAACATTAGCCATTGTAGTAGATAAAAATAGCATGTTAATTTAAACCATTCAAAATCCAAAATCTGCTCTAATTTTTATGCTTGATGTATGAGAAAACTGAGTTTTGAGACATGAGCTATATATTGCAATATCAAAATGTTCTNGTGATGCCTTTTGAAGTTATCTCACACCTGACACTTGGGAGAATTATGATTGGACTGTACTTGGGATGCCAAGGGGAGGGGAATGAATTATACAATATATTATTCGCTTACGCACCTAAATAATCAGACTTTGCTTTGCTTCGCTTCTCTTTGTTTATAATTAGTAAAAGTACACTTGATTTCTATCAATGGAGTCTTGTGGTCTTCTTTCCTGATTATCGAATGAAGGAGTGCTGACAATGTTGTTCGCCTTGATAGGAACAGGAGGTGTAGATGCAGGTGGTCTGAGTTGTGAGATTACTTCTCATGTGAGTAAACCAATGTGAAACACTGGATGGACTTGCCTGAGTGTCTTTGGAAGGAGTAATTCTACTGTTATTGGGTTGATAACTGGTGATTGGGAAACGTCCAATGAAATTTGGCCCTAATTTCTTTGATTTCCTTCTCCTCCCAATTGAATGGCAGTATCACTTTTAGGGATCTGACATTGTCCTTCAGCAATTTTAAAATTTGTACTGGGATATCATCTGGTCCTGTGGCTTTTCTTGTTTTTGCTATTTTATTGCATGTTCAACCTCCTCCATAGTAATATTTGGTCCAGTTGTTACACTTCCTATATCCGTGATGGCTAACTTATGGCACGCGTGCCACAGGTGGCACCCGGAGACACATTTGATGGCACACCAGCTGCCAGTGAATTTTTTGCCCTTTCAAAGGGCCAGGGGAGGCATTTTCACTATCCTCATGCTTCAGGAAAGCCTCCAGAGACTGCAGAGGGCAAAAAACAGCCCCAATGAACTTCTGGTTAGCCTGTTGGGGCCATTTTTCACCCTCCCCAGCCTCTGGAGACTTTCCTGAAGCATGGGGAGGGTGAAAATGGCCTTCCCCACCACTCCAAAAGCCCCCGGAAGCCAGAAACAGGTCATTTCAAAACTTCTGGTTGGCCCATTGGGGCTGTTTTTCACCCCCCAACCTCCAGAGGCTTTCCAAAAGCCTGGGGAGGGCAAAAAAATGGCACCAATGGGCCAATTGGAAGTTTGGAAACAATCTGTAAAAAATGTTCACAAAACTTCCATTGATAGAATTTTTTTAAAAAAAGATAACACATAGTCCAATAATGCTTAATTTCTTTGCTTATTTCCTTTTCTTTACCAGTTTAATTTAACTCCAATATTTTTGGGCAGTCTTTTATAAAAATAAGATTTCCTCACCAGATGGACACACTTTCTCTTTCTGCTTTCGTCCCATTGTGGAGCTGTCCCGACTTCAGCAGCTTGAGGCTGTGCTTTTTGTCGCTGGCAAGAAGAGATTCTCTTGGATCAATCAGGGACTTTGTGATGTCCCTGAGATCAGCAAGACGTACTCTTCCCTGTCACTGTCTCTTCAGGATGGTTTAGGTCCAAATGGACCTTCCAGCAGCAAAAGTGTCAACTGCAATCTTGGAGCTCCGAGGTCGCACGTTGTACCGTTGCAATGTCAGCTCCTGTCTCCAATAACTGGATTTCTTTTGAAGCCTGGTGTGAGGCTCATGATTTAATTAGGGAATCGGTGGGAACCCTGACATCCTTCTCCAACTGCCCCAATAGCCCCTTCCCTAACCCTCTTTCAGATTCCCCTTTAAAGCTGCAGATACTTTGCATTTATGCTTAGTCATCTGTTGGATATTGGTCATGCCAGCTGAGTAATGATCTAAACAGTCCTAGAATGAAGCAATGCCAAAGCACTTCTTTCATGTTGCAAAAAAATGGCATAACATTAATTATTTGATTTTTTAAATTAGTTTTACTCTTTTTAGATGTGGTTTTTATATTCGGCAAGTCGCCTTGAGTTTTCATGGGTGAAAAGGCAGAAGTATAAATTTAATGATAAAATAAATAAATAAAATAAATCACCCATAGACCTCATGAACACTGGTAATTTTGGATTCATTCAGGCCTTTTGTGAATAATAATCATAATTCACTGGTTCCTCAGTCTATTCTCCTCAATGTCAGGTCATCCCACCTTCTTTACATGAACAGTCTGAAGCTGTATGGAAAAAGACCATCTGAAGAGGAATCACTGCCCAATATTGTCTGTACCTGCAGCCAAGATATCTCAATGGTATCTGGATGGGATGTGCAATCCTCACCATCAGCAAGGGAAAAATAGTAAAAACTGAAGAAATTAAGATGCTCTTGGAAATAATATTAAGCTTCACCCTGAGAATTGAGAAGAGATGGGAAAATATTGAAAATATAAATTTTAATATGGTAAACCTGATGAAAAAATGGAAGATATTCAGCAAATGGGAAAAAAAACCAAAGGGAAAAATGAACAAAGAGGCAAGATAACCGTGGATATTGACAGTGAACTGAGTGTGGTTGGATATGGAAAGAGTGGAACAAGGAAAGAGAAGATAGATGGAAAGGTGCTTTACTACAGATTTCAAGGTATAGAAGAAGAAAAAAGAGAAGAATGGATGGACTTAAGGAGAGAAACTTTGACAAAAACACTACTGATAACCAAAGATAAGCTGATTAAAGAAGGTGAATGTTTCATGTTTTTACAAGATATGTAACAAGCAACAAGTTGCAAAGAGAACTCCAAACAAATTTGATTAAGGAAATAACCAGAAGACTAATTCCACAAATGGCAAAGGAAATAGGACTTACACTATTACTGGAAAGACACAGGTTGAGATATGAAAATGAATAATAAAACACTAGTTAAATTTAGTTAAAATTAGAGCATTATGTTAAAAATGTAGTGACAATGATAAAGTTAGGTAAATAATTGATAATGATAACAATGTATATGTATGTATGTATGTATGTATGTATGTATGTATGTATGTATGTATG